AATCTTTTTTTTACTTTAATATACTATATTTGGATGAGTGAAAACTTTGCATGTATGTATTTTTCTTTTGTTTATTAAAAAAAACAGCCACACACACACAACAAAAAATAAACTTATTGTTTATTATTAATCACAAGCCATAAATTTTAAAGCCCAGTAATACATAATAATACATGGGGTTAATAATGTGAGGGCTTATAATATTTGTTCTCTCCTCACTGAGTTGAAATAAAGGAGTAAATAATTAATGGCCAAGTATTTTTTACCATATTAATGTTCAAATATTAATTTTCGATTATTGATTATTTTTAATTGTTTTCGATAAATGATTTGTTCATTGTTGGAAATATATGCTTCTATACTTTTTTTTTTTTTTTTTTTTTTTTCGGGATGATGGCGACCTTATCTATTATATCAATCATATAAACACTAGTCTTATCCATTGTTATTAACATAATTGAACAAAAGTTTATATGCGTATTAATGTAAATAAATAAAGAAAAAAAAAAAATAAAAATAAAAAATAATATTTTCTCTATTAGAAAAAAAAAATGCATAGATGAACTTCTCTTTCTTATCGTCAAAAATACTCGGTGTATTTATACTAATAATTCTCATTAATCTTTTGAATCAAGTTTATCATCGAGTTAAAAAATCAAATTAGAAGCATCGGAAGAATCGGAAGAATGATAAAAAGTTGAGACGGATGATTCCGAATCGTCGTAGTAAATATTGTAATTCATTATTCTCACAGAATTTTTCTTTTCCTATATTAAGAAATATTTATCATTAAAATGGATAAATAAAAAATGAAAAAAATCAAGTTTTTTTTTTTATTTATTATTTCGATATGTTTATTTAAATATAATAAAATATACAATAATTATAAATGGCATGGCGTGTTTGGCGTGGCGTGTTAAATAAAAAAAAGAATATCAAATATCCTGAAATTAAATATTAATAAAACTTTTCAGATTAGCGGAAATCAAGGAAATTTACTTGTAGAGTTTGCGTTGCCTAAATCACATACCTTTATCTTAATTGAAATTAATGCTTATTGATATTATCAAATAATACCTTTGAAATCATTTACATCAAACTCATATTGTATTATGTTCTACAAAAGAAAAAATAGAAAATATATTAAATATATTGTAATAAATTTGAAAAAAAATAACTTACGTTTAATTCAACTTACTTTCGTTCACGCTATGCTCAGTCCCAATTGTCAGGTTTTTTTACCTATTTTTATTTCCTCATTATATTATTAAATAAATCTCCCAACATATATTCATTCGTTTCAAAGATTCTTTGTAAAATCATATTCATATTGAATAGTGTGATTTTATTAAATAATTAAAAAATCCAAATAATAATTTAATATTATTAATAAACGTAAATTTCTTTTTTCCAGAGTATTTCAAAACGAAAAATTGAAAAACTTCTTTTATGGGTGCAGTAAATTATGAGAAAAAAATAAAATCGCCAACTTTTACTAATACAGAGAAATTTATATGGAATCTGAACCACGACTTTTCCTTTTTCTCGACTTCTTCCTCTTCATCCTGTTATTCGTAGAAAAATCATCGATCCGCTTTCTGGTTTTTGAGTTTTGGCTGATAATTTGAAAAAAAAAATCTATTGATCCCTCTCCCCTAGCCGCCACCTATCTTCTCTAGTTACCAATACCGCTTCCACCTATAATCATAGCACTAGCACGATATTAAAATAAACTATTTGACTATTTGTTAAATGATAAAATAGGAAATATTCTATTTTACATGACGCGTGATCTGAAATGTCGCGTATATTATATTTAATAAAAAATTTCTCTACTTCCATATAATCGAAATAATTAATCCCTCTACGTTCTTCGTACTTTGACTGGTACTATAATTACATAAGATTAATAAATTTTATAATCTAAAATACAAAAAGTAGGTTAATAAAAAAAAATACCTTGAGGTAAAGAATTGTGATACTATGAATACTATTAAACGTCATATACTTCTTTTATTTCTAATTTTATAATTTAACAAGATATTAATAAATAACACTGAATATTTAATAAATATCATTATCATAAAGATCACGATTAAATACTTGCCTTTTTTTAATTTAGTAAGAAACAGAAATTTCCTTATAAAACAGAGTTATCTAAAATATACAGGAAATTCCGTCATATTCTGGCGGTAAACCTCGTCCTCAAATATATAATTGATATTTGAGGATGAGGTTTATCGCAAGCAATGTAGAACGGGATTTCTTGTATATTTTAGATAATTCTATTTAGGTGGACTATTATTAATAGTATTTTCGGTTTAACTTGTTCTTTTATATGAACGAATTTGAAAGAGGAATATTAGTGATATATTCGTGCGTATAAATTATTTATAAAAAAGAAGCATATAAGTAGCATACCTTTTGAATAATAAGAGGCATAAACCATAAATATATAAAATTTATTCTCTTTTTTTATGTTGAAATATTAGTGAAAAGAATGTTTGTAGAATGAGAAACATGATTTTTTTTATTTCATATTATTTTATTATTATTTTTTTTTTTGATACGATTTTTTTAGTCCGAAGCGAAGTGAAAAAACTTTATATATTTTTGCAACTCAAAAATTTTTTTTAAAAAAGAGAGAAAGACGTTATATTTCATGAAACAAAAAAAAAAAAATTTATTTATAAATTTGATTTACACAAGTACCAGTTGATTGGCTATATAAATTTCACAACAGTATGATCTCTTACTGAAATAATTAATGTCTCCTTGAACTTCAAATAGATCGATTCCTAATTTAACATTATCATAGGGTAAAAGAAAAAAAAATAGACTAAACAATGATACATAATAGGTATTCTATATAATTTTAAATCACAATTATCATATTTTTATATCATTCAATCATGGCTGACTTGATCGAATTATCAATCTAATTTTAAATCGAATGACAAAATTTTGCAATCGGTTAATTGAACAACTCGATCAATGAGTGATTATACTTAATTCGATTAAAACCCTAATTTTTAAATACATTATTAATAGTTTAATACGTTTATCAGGTTTTGATCCCACTTTTATTTACTCTTAATTACAACATAATACATTTGATGACAATAAAGAAATTCTTACTACACACTACCATCATGCGAAATATATTAATTTCAATGAACTACAATAAGTATCTAATTTAAGTAAGAGTAAGTATCTAATTTAAAACACTATATAAGAAATTCAACGTGTCTTAATAACGAATCTTAAAAGGAAACTAGGATACATCATTGAGATTAAAGGACATCATCGGCTAATTATTGCCATCATAAAAATGATTGATAATCACATAACGAGCCATATTCTTATTTTTTTTTCGTAGAATCTCATAATAAGCGTAATATCCGAAGTAAATAACTATCAATTAATTTAAAGATTATATTCATTAATTAATTGTATTTACTTGTTAAATATATATATATATATA